TGTCGGCAGCCTCCAGTTATCCTTTCTGCCTGCCCAGCTCAGCTGCGATGCTGCCAGACCACGCACGAGACGTGCCAAGGGCAATGCACGTGCACCCAGGCTGGAGAGCTGCTGGATGTGTGCGTGCAGGCAGCAGGGAGTTTGACTCTTTTAATGATTTTTTTTGTTAAAGATGGAGCAGGCCTTACAAGAGCAGCTTTGTGCCTTGGGAACTCTCCCAACTGCAGTGCCAGGAGGGTGCAGGGGCAGTGCCCGTGCTGATGATGTGCTCATGTGCACCTGCAGTGAGAGGGGTGGCTGCGAGCTGGGCTTTCCAGACAGGTGAGCAGCAGCTTCACCTAAAAGCGTGTAAAACTCTAATAAAAAAAATGAGGCCGTAAAGTATATTTAGCAGCTTCCCACTCAAATTCTGGAGAGGGGGAGCTCTGCTGGCACCACCCTGTGTGAGGCAGAGTCAGATTTTCATCCGTATTTCCAAACTGACTTCTCTGTGCTTTCTCCCCTTGGCTTTTCCCCTCAAAATATTCCTGCTGTGGCCCTACTGTCAGGGGCAGCTCTGTGAATGGCCACTTAGGGCAAGGTCTGGAGAACAAACCTGTCCAGCTATGGATGCTGGAGCCTTGGGAATGTGTCCCAAGCCTGAAGTGCCCAGTCACTTACCTACATGGCATGAATTTCAAATGCAATCCGCTGCTTCTGTCAAGCCTCTTCTGTAGTTAGTCATACCTTAGTAGCTGGGGGAACAGATCAAATACTGCTATAAAAACACGAGGGGGAAAAAGAAAAAAAGAGGTGCCAGGTTCTTTTACAGCTTTATTTGTGTACTGTATATCTGTCTATCTGGGCTTACAGTCTTTGACGCTGAAATGACAGCAGGGAAAAATGTGAATATTTAAAGACGAAGCTAGCATCAGCATTTCCATTTAGGTTATCGCTTTGTGTTGTCTCTGGCATTTTAGCTTCACTGCAATGAGGTTTGAGATCTCCATCTGGTCCTGATGGACAAAAGCCTTCTTAGAAAAAGGACCAGGATGGAAGGAATCGGCCCAGTGGTGACTGCAAAGCTGTTGGAGTCCTGTCGGAAGATAGGCAAGTAAAGCAGCCCTGAGTCTGATGGATTTTATATCTTGGAAAATTCAAATTGGACCATAATTTTCATGTCAAGAGTCATTCTGCTGCATCCAGCCACAAAAAGCATGACTTTTCTCATTGCTTATAGAGCAGCAGGGCCAGGTCTGCCCACTTGGTGCTAAGGGGGGCTCTGAGCCAGAGGCTCTGCAAAGCTGCACTGCCTCTCGCTCCCACTTAACCTGCTGGAGAATTTAAATGCCAATGTTTTTATACCCCCTAAGAACGCGATCTGTTCTGTATCTATGGCAAACCTAAAAATAGTTCTCCTCTCAGCCATTTTCAAGTTATTTTTTTTTTTTTTTTTTCCTGCAAAAGGTGAGCTCCTTGTGATCCTCCTGGCTAAAAAGCGTTACGCCGAGGTGTGCTGCTGGAGAACACGCAGCATCCATCACAGCCCTGCTCGCGCAGGGTGCTGTCACTGCTCCCCGTCTGCGCCATCAGAACTGTGCCGAGTCGGTGTTTACGTACAGGACAGGCTCTGAGTGACAGATCAAATGATCAGATTTTAGCGTGATTTAGGAAAATTAGTTAATTTGGCTAGGGAAATCAAGGATCCCCACGGAGCTTGCAGGGTAAAACTTGCTTCAGATGGCTCATAAACAAAGGGCTGTGTTGCTAGGATTGCTAAGTTCAATGGATTTTGCTTTTGCAACCCACTGCTGCAGTTTTACTCTTTCCCTTTCTGTCTGGGAGATATTTAGTTGCCTCTTGGTTTTATATTTTTCTTTTTTAATTTTATCTTTGTCATAGATGTAAATCCTGCTGTTAGGATCTACTACTATGACAAAAAATTAAATAAATCGCATGGCAAATAACAAAAAAGCGAATATTAGCAAAAGGCGTGGGTTGAGGGAGCCTGGCTGAACTGAGAGCATCTCTGCAGGCAGCTGGGCTGGGCACATGTTCCCGTGGGCAGGTGGCAGGGGGAGACGTGGAGGGCTTGAAGCCACAAGAAGCATGCAGGGGGTGGTTCCGTGGCACAGCGATGTCTCTGTCTCTCTGCGTTGCCCTTCGACACGGTTAAGCTGCTATATCGGGGTGTCCTGGCATCCCTCCCAATGCCATGACGCTCCTTAGTGACTCTCTGTGTTTGTTCTTGGGCTAAACGTTGCAAAACAGCTCAGGATTCCTTGATCTTGCCTTGTTTGGATTCTTTCATGAATTGCATCCATGTGTCCGAGGCACCGAGCCCTTTCACACGGTTGGGCAATGTTTGCGTTAGGAACAGCGGCTCTTTGCTACACGAGCGCGGGTCGTCGTTCCTCCCAGTCCCAAAAGTGCCCATGAGAAGTCCAGGGCTTCGGATCCAGGCACGTGGCGGTGAGTCTGGGACACAGAGCTGCAGGATAAGGTCTGCTCCTCGTGCTTTTTCCTTGGAGCATCTGTCTTTCTTTTCAGGCAGGACATCGGCCATGCCTGAAAGCCATTTAGAAATTGCAGGGAGCGCAGGTTTCAGTAGCCTGCCTATTAAGCGGGGTTTCTTGCCAGAACACATTACTCTGAGATCTGCACTTGTTCTCAATTTTCACGTAGGAGTAAAGGCAGCAGATTTAACACCAAAATCCAAGCCAGTTTGGATTTGGGTGCATAGGGAGCAGCTTGAGTCCTGGTGGCAGACACCACCAGGTGATAGAGGTGAGCCAACAGCCCCTTACACGAGACAGGAGGAACGGTGGCTGGAGATGCACGGGGAAGGCTCTCCATCCTCTCTGACATGTATATGCCTGTAATTCACTAACTAGATTTGTCCAACTGGAATTATCACCGAAACCTCATTCCAATAAAATTCTGATTTCACGGACTATTCCCAGAGGTGGTATCTCAAGAGGCTGGAAATTGCTGCCGGCGTCAGCCAGGATATAATTGTCATTTATGTGTTTGTGCTCTTGTCTGCACGCAAGTGGATGAGACAGATGTACAGCATGTCATAGGATGGCTGGGTTTTCATATGGCTTTCTTAGAGATTGCTGCTTTTATTCTCATTCAAGGTTTTCATCCTTTCTCCTGCTGTATTGTCTGATTTATCAGAGTGCCTGAACATGTGCTTCTTCCTCCTGTTCTCCTCCTCTCCCTTGCTGATATCTGTAAGCAAATCACCACTGTTTCATAGGAAGTGAAAGAGGAGAAAAAAAAAATAAAGGCAAGGTTCTTGTTCGCCTTATGCAATGGAGATGATGACTGAAACCGCTATTAATGATTGTTCCCTGCGTGCCCAGGCAGGGAGTTTGATTTCTGAGTAATTTCAGCGATGGCGATGTACATTAATGGCACAGTCTGCAGCTTCGCTGCTTCCAGAGTCAGCCTGAAACCAGGTGGTGTCAGTGGGCTGCTGAGGTAGCAGCAGGATGAGGCCCTTGGTTAGTTAATAGCAGTAGCGATCGGCGTGGATTGCCAAATGTGACTTGGATTGGTGTGGTTCGAGACCCTCGTTCTCATGGAGGTCACTCCAAGCTTAGCGAAAATCAGGTCTCTGATGTTCGCATGACCATGAATGGAGGCGTTTAATCAATGGTTGTTTGACAGTTAAAGGCATTAATTAAAGGCTTAGCTGGTTTTTGAGAGTGTCAGGGCCTGAAGGTGCCAGAATTTTGGGATCCAGTGGAGCCCAGGCTCTCTGTGGATCTCCAGGTGCTCCCTGGCAGAAGGTCGTGGCAGATGCAGGTACCTTTGTGCCCCGTTCGTGCCCGTTATTCCCTTTGCTGACCAGACCCTGCGGCCAGCTATGATGATGGCCCGTGGCATCCTGCTCTAGGGGACAAGCAGCAGGGACCCCCCTGAACCATGCTGACGAGGCCAGGAGGTGTTGGCTCTCCTGCGGGCACGGCTCCAGAAGCTGCTGCGGTGGAGTTGATGCTTGGATGTGGGTGGCCGCAGGTCCCTGGGCCGGCTGGTGTCTGCATTTGTTGGCAGCCCCGCGGCTGGCCGGGCAGGGTGGGCATGCCCAGGAAAAGCACAGGTTTTGTCCATTCTCAGCGTTCCCCATGACAAAACTTTGTGTGTTCCTAACAAGCGGATCCTGTTTCTCCTCCTGCAGGGAGGCTCCGTCAGAGCTAACCGGTGGTAATTGGAGAGGGGGAGGCGAGGGGAAAGGGCACAAAACCCAGGAAGAAAGCTGGGGGGGGAGTGTGAGATCCCAGAGAGTGAGCCTAAAACCAGCAAACTCGGATGGAAACGCTGCTCTCGCAGACCACAGGAACATGCCTTCTGCTGGGGGAGTGCAGAGCAGACGATGTGATGAGGCTTGCGAGGTCGCTGCAGTTGGTGCAACGAACCCTGGGGCGTTTCTCCGGCCGGGCTGCCTCGCAGAAGTCTCCTTCTGTGGGAAAAATCAATAACTGGAATGGGTCGGTCTCCTTGCCACTGCAAACCTATACTTAAGTGTGATTAAAATGCTTTCGGCAAAGGAAATACCCCGTAGTTTAAGCCAAACATGGGGACATCCTTTCTCCCTCTGATTGATGTTATGGTGGTTTATGCGGTGTACTATATTCTGAACCAGCCCCAAGTCAATTAGGCACCGTTTCAAAGTATTTTCTCATGCAGCCCAAGGTTTTGCTCGTGCCAACGAAATCTGAAACTCGGGGAAATGATAGCAGAAATGAATGCTGTGAACGAGCACAGCCAGGCCGTGGGGTGAGCAGGCAGCGAGCACTGCAGGATTCCCTGCTTCAAGGATCAAGCTGCCTTTTTCAAGTTGTGAGATTTAATGGCCTTTTTTTTTTTTCTTTTTCCCTGAGATCAAGCGTAGTATTGGTTTAATATCTGATACAAACTCTATCGGGAAAATATATCCTTCCTTTGTGGAGGGACAAGATGATCTAACTATAAAATGATCAGATCCTGACAGTTCTTTCCCACCCCTGGACCAGATGGGATTTCTGCCCCAGAGACCCCATCTAAAACACCTTTGCGCTCAGCCTTTGACTATTTGAAGCTTTCAGACAATCGCCGTGTGGGAAAGGACAGTCCTTACAAATCTCCCGACCTTTCAGTCCTGAAATATCATTCCTTGTGATGGAAGAGAGTAATAACATGTGAGAGCACCATCACAAGCCAGCCAGCAAAGGAAATAACAGGGTGACCTTATAAAATCAGCGCTGAAAAAAACCCCAATTATAGGGTTAAATGCCACCGAAGTAATGATTCTCCTGGTTTATCTCGCTGGCGATACGCTGTATTTTAAAGCCAGCCGTCGGGGACATGTGAAATGGCACTTAAACCATCGGGGGAAGGTTCCCCCGTACACCAGGCATATTTCCATGGATTCCAAAACAGCCCCGGAGTCTGGGCAGGCGAGGAGTGAGCTTAATTCCTTCCTTTGTAGTAGGAGATCTTTGAAACTCCTATTTGATCGTTTCCCTAGATTAGGACGGTTCTGCGCTGCTTTGGAGCAATGTGTCCCCCCTGCCCACCGACCTCCTCTCCCGGCGTGATAAGGCATCTGTAAACACCCTCTGAAAGTCTTTACAGAGCCTCCTCTGTACAGCGCTTTGAAGCAGAGCTGCATGAAGACCTCTGTACCGGCTGAAAATATCTTGCAAACTGATAAAGAAGTGCAGGTACAGCTAAAATCCACTGTGTAATAAGGATTAGCGAGCCTAAGGAGGTTTGTTTGGCTTGAAGATGGAGTTGAAACGTCTGAGGCTTGGATTCGACCAGAATTAAACTGAACTTGGGTTTCATCAGATGCCGCGTTGGCCCTCTTCTCTCCCGCTCCTCCTCGCCCCACTCCACGCTCAGAGCAAATACTCGGAGCTCATCATTTTAAAAGGAGCGGTTTAATTTTCCCACCGGTCCAGGTCCTTGTTAAATATGCTGTGCTTCAACCAGCCCGCATCTCCCTGCGCCTGCCTACCTGTGTGCTGGGCTGTATTGATCTCAGATATGTGGGCAATTGCTCCGCCGAACACAGCCTCAAAGAGCCCCATTTGATCCGGTGATGATTCCCTAGCACATATCCCGACTAATTGTATCCGTGGAAATCAAGTGCACTTTAACTAATGAAAAAAAATAAAAAAAAAGATAACGTGGTCAAAGCTTATTTGAAGAAATGACATGTTTTAAAACCTGACATGACTTAAAACAGAATCATATAAGTTCCTTTGCTAAAACACTTTCAGGATATATTAGGTATAACAATAGTTTTCTACATGAAAATGGCTTTGAAATCTTAAAAGAAAAGTATTTTAAAAGAAAAGAATTTTTGCGGTGCATTAAATTGGACGTGAATATGACAGATTTCAAAGACTGTCAAAATAACGAATTTACATCATAAATGCACAGGCTGCCTTTTTAAAGGCCTCTTCAACAACTCAGGAAGGCGTTTAATGGTGAGCAAGTTCAAAGTGTCATGGACTCCCACTGGTATAAAAAGGAGGCAATACCCACTATACTCTCTGTGTTTCAGATAATGTATCTGTCTCTTTTCAAGTTAATAAACTGCACTCCTGTCAAATTGCAGATAAATGAAAGCGACCAAGACATTGTTTTCCCCACATATTGCTAAGAAAGATATCTCCCAATATTTCTAAACGACCAGTATGCTAAAAAGAACTTGAAATGAATCCACCCTGCAGTTATTTTACAGCATCAAAGACAATGAAATTTCCACAGAGGCACTTTCTGAAGTTTTAAATGCTTTATTTCTGATAGCTGCTCATTAAGAAGCTTCGAAAGCTTTTTATTGTTTCAAAGGCAGTCATCTAAATTTTTAATCATTCACTAGTGCTATATGGTCATGATGTTACTCTCTAGCTTTAAAATCCCTTTATTTTCTAAACAGTAATGTCAACATAATGTTTCCCCAAATAATTGTTAGGTACGGCCTCGCTCAAAGAGCAACTGTGAGGAGGAGAGAAAGGAAAAGAGAGAGGATTTTTCCAGCTCCCTTTTGCGAGGCAGAGAAATGAGACACGTCAGGAAATTAAAAGTCCGGGACCGACGGTTTACAGAGCTGGCCACCGACTTAAAGCGCTGCTCTTCTGGGATGGTTTCGGGCCCGTTTTCATTTTTATTGTAGGGGAAGTTTGCGGTGGGTATTTTTCAAGCGAACAATGATGCTCCGCGGGCCGATCCTCGCTCTGTGACACATGGGTGTCCTCGGGGATTAAAGAGGATTTAGGGAAATTTCCTGTCGCTGCCCCTCGGAGCTGCTTTCCCCACACCCTGGTGTTGGAGCAGTGGGATCGGGTGTAGCTTGGTGGGGACATGCAAGGGGCAGCATCCGTTCATTCCCCACCCATAAGAGCATGTGGAGCCCCTGCGAAGGAGCAAATTGGGGCATCGCACCCCTGCCCTGGTGGTTTTGTTTTGCTCCTCGCTGCAGCACCCACCGAAGGCAGGGCTTCTCCTCACAGCCTGGGACTGCCGATTCTCACACGCTAGGCATGGGGATGAGATTGCAGTTTATTTACTCTACAGGCTCATATTAAATTTCTCCCTCCCCAAACCACAATCCAGCCACTCTCCTCTTCAGGGACAGCAAGTTTTCCATTCTCAGGATCTAAGCGTTGGACTGAGCCCACGTTCCTGCTCAAGCCTCTTCCCTTTCTTGTGCCTGTATTAAATACGTTCAGAGTGCTGACAAGTGAGCAGCAATGGGAAGCGGGAGCAGATCCAGCCTGCCTCTGCCCAGCAAGGATGTAGATCCCTCTGCGTGCATATATTTGTCACATTCACCTTCCAGTTTTCAGTCAGGATAAATGCAAAAGAAAGAAAATACCGAGCCGCAGGAATAGTCTGCGTGTAGCTCTGTGTTTGGACATCACCTGCAAGAGATCTCAAGAGAGGAGGAGAACAACTGGCTCTTGCTAAAATAATGCTTTGCCCTCCTCTAGTGGTACTTTTGATCTCAGACTCTCCAAGGAATTACCAGCATTCATCCATCACCGTTCTGCCATCTCCTGCAGCCCTTGCACAGCTGAGGCACCGAAGGTCTGAGTGAGCACAGGACACCCACTTCTACCAGCACCTCTTACTTTGGTGATGGAGATCTCGTCCCAGTCTTCAACAGATAGCTTTTTATGGTGAACGTGGTGTTGTTGAATAGATTGCAAGTGTTGTATGCAAACTTATAGCTGCCACAGAGATATGCTGACATTTTTATCTGTCCCTTCTCAGCCTGGCCTTGGGTGGCTTCAGGCACACCAAACGCAGCATTCTGCCTTTTCCTGCTGACTTTGCCAAGGCTCCCTTCCCCTTTCTGCCTTGCCCTTTCTGCCTTGGACACAGGCTGCCTGTCAACAGACCTAATCACTAGAAAAGTTATTTGCCCAGGTTTTGAAATGCAAATGGTTTCAAAGGCACATCGGTGGCTAGTGTGGAGCTGAGAGAGACGAGCGTGCTCCCTGCCCAGGACCGACTCGGTCCCTTGGAGGCACAGCGAGAGGAGTTCTGCTGGTTGCAATTACCCAGCGCTATCATAGGAACAACGACATAAAATCAGATGGAGCAGTTGCTCCGCTTGTACCAAAGGCCTGGGAAAACACAAGTTGCCAGCAATTAGTCCAGAGAGGAGCAAGAGCTGGCTGTCAGCTGAGCATGTAGGTGCCGGGCTGGGACATGGGAGGTGCTGAGCGTGCGGGGACACAGGAGCTGTGCTCCTCATCCGTGCCCTGTGCTGGGCTCTCCAGGCACTGTGGGCCTCATGTCCCCGTTAAAGCTGGGTTCCTGGGGTCCCACAGCTGCTATTTAGTGCTAGTCCTTTCCCAACAAGCCTCTCGAGCTGCCCTGCCCTCTTTGGGGACCTCTGCTGAGGTTGTGCTTTGCTCCGAGGGGTCAAAATATTCCTGATTCTGGTACTGGAAAAATCAAAGAGAACTGGGAACAGAAGTGATACCCTTACCTGGTATGTGGCCAGGTTTGCTGTGCTTCCCACCCACCCTGCAAGCCACCGGTATGTCAGGCAGATCCTTGCAGCGCCCAAGCCCATGGGATAAGCCACGATCTTGCCAGAACAGCAAGTCACAAATACTAAAAGCGCAGTTAACGGTACTTATACTTAGAAGTCCTCTGGAAACCAAAGATAACACATGTTCCTGTAGGAAACGCATGTTAGAGAAACAGCCTATGCTCCCTGAGGACTGTTCAACATCCATCTGTGGCCGTGCTGTCCAGTGGTGCACGTGTGGAAGAGCTGCTGGTGGGCTCGGCGAAACCTCATTCACAGCAGAGATCTCTGCAGGGCAGCGTCAGGCAGGTGCTGCAGCGGGGACCCTTGGTGCTGCCGCGCTGCTGCTTACGCTGGCTCCCGGTGTGTTGAGTGCCAGCGGTGCCTCGGGGCTTGGGAAGCCTCCACATCATCTTTCCAAATCTTGCATTTGCACAGCACGCTTTTCCCGTGATACCGAAAGGCAAATCACAGCTCTCCAGAATTGCATCTGCAAGCAGCTCCCGTCCTGTGTCCAGGATGACCAAGGAAAACAAATGACATGAATAAATCATAAAATTTGCAGAACATGCATTTTGCCAGGGACAAAACAGATTCAGATCTAATGTTCTGTGCTCTGAGCTAAATTTAGAACTCGTGATTTTGGACAGGCTTCTCGTATTGCCAGGCAGGGTCTCAGGCCCTTCGCACAGATTGCAAACATCCTGCCTTCTTGGCTGTTTTCACGCCGGGCTCCGTACTCTGTTACCTTTCCAGGGAGAGTTCAGCTCTGGCCTTTCACACGGAAAGAGCCAAGCGCTTTGAGAATAATTAGAAACTGATAGTTTTACGTAATGCTACCAGATCGTCTGGCCTCTCTTTGAAGCAGAGGAGGAGAGGACTTCAGCTGAACAACTCCGGAGCTAGGCCAGCCAGAGCAGAGCCGGCCCCGCTTGCTTGTAGGATGGAAATGCAAATGCCTGCCCGCAGGCTGCTGGCTCCCTGGGCCATTTGGGCTCCGAATCCTCTGCGTGCGAAGTTTCTGTGTTGCAATTACCAGCCTGGTTCCTAGAGGCTATAAAGCTGTCCTCGGGAGGCCGTGATGGATGGTGCTGTGCTGTTCGAGTGGCCTTTTCTAGGGGGTGGTGCTAGCTTGCCGGCATGTTCCTTGAGGTGATCCTCTGCTGCTCCGTTGCTTCAGCGGGAGCCACAATTCCCCGCTGCTTTCACTTCCCAGTCCAACTGGTCGCTCCGAGGCTGCAGTTTGTGTTTTCAATGCTGATGGCCAAAGCAAAGAAACGGAGCTTTTTTCCTCAAAGCACAGGGTTCACCAGTATGACTCAACCGAGGCTCCAGATGTAGCTCCAGATGGCTGGCTATAGAGAATACCACCTCTATTTGTTATTCTGAGCTGTTTGTACATGTTTTTGTACTTTATTTCTTCCTTCTGTTTATTCTGAAAGAGTTAAACTTTATCACTCCATCAGTGTTGGCGAATTAGCTCTGTCATGTGGGATCGTTTCTCTTTCCTCTTAAACGACTTAGATGATTGACCAACAAAATACTTGACCCAAAATTTGCTTTTGGGTAACGTTCAAGGGTTTGAACTTCAGGCTTCATTACTGGAGAGCCTGAGAGCCTGCCTGCTGGTGGAGTCTGAGCTTTCCTACCACGCACCAACCCAATGCACCTTGCTCGTTATCCTGCTCACCCATTTGCAAATTCAGAGAAGTGTTTGCAGTAAGTTTCCAGCACGCCTTGCTCATCTCTCAAATGTATTTAAGGAGGTTGGGATCCACCTCACTTAGACTGAACCCACGTTTTAGCTGGAATTGGACATCTAAGGTCCCGCTGTGATCAACAAACAGAGGTTGTACCCCAAGGGGAGAGTGCTTCAGTCCTCCTAGTGATGCCCAGGGGAGGTTTAAGGAAATGCCCGGGGGTGACATCCACTCTCCACTGGTTATAGGAGCTGCTCATGGGGCTGGCTGAGGCTGCACCCAACTCTCATGTGGCAAGATGGATTCTAGCTGCAGGCACACGTTTTCAGAGGTATTTATCTGCCTAAACAATCAGAAGACGCCTTGCAAGATTTACAGAAAAGTTCTTCAGTTCCACTGAAATAAATGGGATTTAGTTTAGATAAGGCAGACTTTTGGGAAACCTGATGTCTCACATATTTGTCTAAACACTTCAGAAGAATGTGTGCCTGAATGTTCTCTCAAAGTAAGGTCAGGTTTGGCTGACAGACATTTAATACGTTTGATCTTAACGTGACCTTCAGGAAATAACAAACAGTTATTTCAAAATAAATGCTTTTTTTTTTTTCAGAAGGATTGAAAATAGAGCCTTTCCTGCTGCTGCTTTTTGATGCATTCCTTCCTGCCAAGGTCCTGACGACACCACCCTGCCTGGCATGGAACAGTACCTTCTCCTGATGGCAAGGGGAAGGTGGCATTGTCCAAGTCCAGTTATTCCTTGGGATGTGCAGGACTACACTAACTCTTCCGGTCCCCTTATAGACTCTCTCTATACCTTTCTTTTCTTAAAATACTAGGAAAAGGCACTGTCAGCCAGCTTTCATCACGTCCCTCAACTGCTAAGCCTGGTCTCAGAGAGGAGACAACTTCATGCTCATAAAGTTCCAAAACAACGAGAAAACAAGGAAACAAAAACCCCCTTGTGTGCTCAGGTCCAGACATCCCTTCTGGAGTGGTAATTTGTGGCTGTCTGGTCCCTTCAGTGTCGTGGCACTGATTTCCTCGCTCCTCCTGAGCTCCTGCCATCTGTCCCCAGCCTGGAGAGGGTCTGCTCTGCTCGCTGAGCTGCTGGACCGCTCTTGGAGCTGCTGCTCCTTTCTTGGAAGGGGAATAAATCTTCAGCAACCTGTCAAACCTGCGTGAAATTCCGACACGGTAAAACCCAACACGGTCACTGGATGCGGCTACTCTTTCCTTCCTTTGTGGTCTTCGTGCCCGTGCTTCTGCTCATGAAAGCTGTGCTACGTGAGCAGGTGTGTGTGTCTGCATCCAGCTGTGCTCCCTCTGCAAGATGGCAGCTCGTCACATCTGGTTGTACTTGATTATACTGCCGAGAAATCACCTTGTTCTCATTTTGAAGCAGTGAGGATGGCAGAAGGTCCCTTTATTCGCAGTAATCAATTCGAGTTAGAGGGTCCTTTAAACTTGCAGACAAAAGACTAGCGAGATCCAGTAAGCTGGAGCTACCAAAGGTCAAAGCAGAAATAAGATGGAAAGCTTTTGTACAGAGCATAATTAATCATCCCAACATCCTTTTCAGATGTATGGCAGATTTTCTATCACTTAGAGCCTTTAAATGATGACTGAATATTTCTCAAAGTTAGATTTAAGATGAGCAACAAGTTACTGGGCAAGGCGCAGGAGTCATTGCAAGAAATTCATCGCCAGCTCCAGGGAAGCCCAGCACAGAGGCCCTATACTGGATATTTTGGTAGCATCGCTGCCTGCTGTGGGATCCCACTACTAATGAGTGAAATGTGCTGTCTCTCCTCAGCGAGGAGGCTCAGAGCCTGCAGGTCCTGGTGCAGGAGCGCACAGCCCATGTGCTGTACTGCAAATCCTCTCCAGGTTTCCAGCCACAACCATCCGAGGCTCCTGCATTACCTCTGAGGAGCGGTGCCTTTCTCCCCAGCACCCTTTTTCTGGTCCCAGACTTCATCCCAGGAGACCATATCTCTTCCTACCCACACACCACGGGAGAGCAAATAGCTCTTTCTCCCCACAGTGGGATGTAGTTGAACTCAAAGATGGAGCTGACGTCGTTTTACTTTATCAGATCTATGCATGATGTGTGCATTTGGCTAAGAAGCATTTCTTTAGGAAGTTGCTTTAAGCTGATGTTCAAAGTTATGGGGTGCTGGAGATCCAGATGTGACCTGTGTGGGCAGCCCTGAGCCCAGCATCGCTCCCTCAAGGTCCAGCTGAGCTCCTGAGCTACCAGTCATCCATTAAATAGGTGCCTCTGAGGGCCTCGGGTGGGAAAAACAAGACCAAGTGGTGCAAAAAGAAATTAAATTTTGGCCTTGGAGCACCCCAAGCACAGACGGAGTAGCCTGGTGGTTGAGACTGAAGGAAGAAAAGGCGATGTGGGGATGGGAGTGAGGTGGAGTGGGAGCTGTGCACTGCTGTGTCCAACATGGACATGTGGCTTGGGCCAGCTGCCGTGCCAAGCTCCCTCTGGAGAACAACAGGTTTGGGCTTTTTTCCTTCCCTAGCTTCTTGCAAAAGAAAGAAAAAAAAAAAAAAAGCTGGAACATCCTCACTGGAAAAACAGATGCAGCCTCTTGGAGCCCAGCTTTCTCTGGTAAATAAACTTCAAGATGAAATCAAACCAAACAAAGCTGCTAACTAACCCAGCCCTGCTGCTAAAGTGTTTTGCTGGGTTTTCAAATGTCTTTGTGATGATTCTGTTCTTCCCCTGTTCTCCCAGCGCCATGTCGAAGCGTTACATGACTTGAAAGCCCGAAAGTCATGGAAGGGGGTAGGGGGAGGAGGAAAACACAAAGCAAGTCGTACAGACGGCGATCGGGGGGAGAGAGGGTTTTTTTTTTTTTTTCACAAGCCCCAGTAACCACATGAAAGCTCTTTAAAAAATAACAAAACCGTCATCTCCATAGCAGTTCTGGTAGCGCAGGTAGTAAAGGCTGGTATTAATTACCCGATCGAGCTTATTGCTGCAGGTGGAAGCTCGTCAGAAGCTAAATACTTGGGTGGCCAGGCACACGGCTTTCCATAAAGCTAATGGGACACCTCGCCAACCCCAGCCTCCTCCCCAGCGCCCCGGGAGGGGACGGAGAGCAGGCTTCCAGAGGACACTGCGCTGAGAAATCTCCCCCCGGAGCCTGGTCTGGTTTTCCAGAGCCACCTGGATCCAGCTGCGTGCAGCCGCGCGTGCCGGCGTGCAAAGCAAACCTGTTGGAAGAAGAAGCGCTCGGGTGCCACGAACAGCAGCCGCTCGGAAGCCGGCACGGTGGGTGCCCCAATTAACAGCGCCACGCCGATCGCTGTGGCTCGTGAGTTCATTACAAAAGACAGACAGACATCCGCAGGGGTCTTAAAATAATGACTGCTTTTATCCGGTGATTGGCAGAGGTGGGGTGACAAGGATGCGCTGCTTAGCATAAACTGGCTTTTTCTTCTCTTTTTTATTCGGATACCAACAGAAAATGTAACGTGGGCAAACAGCAGCTCCGGGGAGGGGTGGCAGGGCTGCAGCAACCTTGGCTTTGCTCTCCTTGGGTCAGTTTGGGTCTTCCCAAAGGGCTCAGCCTCGGGCTCCAGAAGGTTTGCCCTCCACAGAGCTCTTTGTGCTTTCTGAGGCCTCCTTTTCCTCACCAGGGTCAGTTTGTCCCCTCTTCCCAGGGCTGTGCGGCCCTGCCATCGCTGGCCTCCCTCCTACAGAGCGACTTCCCTTCACTTTCAGCTTCTTTGGTCTCTCTGGCTTAGGAACAGCCTGAGACCTCTAAGGAGATAACAGCTTCAGGGCTGTCCCCCATTCTGATCAATCACCAGGGTGTCCATGTGCTAAGGTTTGTGCCCACTCAGGTTTTTCGTGAGTCTTCTGAGATTCCCAAGGCCTTACTGTAATTTATTTTGCTTAAACTAGGCCCAGCAATAGAAAATAAGAAGAGTTTATTACTTCTATAATTATACTCTGGCCTTTTAAAGTACTTTTCAGCTGGGGACTTCAAAGCCATTTGCAAAGTTTCATGGACTGAGTCTCAGCATGAAGAAGCGCCACCTTATTTTTCAGGTCAGAAAAGTAAAGTGTTTTCCCCAAATATATGAGGAGCTGAGCTGGGATTAGACCCCGGACCCCCAGCTCACAATCCCTTCCTTTAACTGCTAGCTCAGCAGCGCTCATTCTGGCATGGGAAAAGCAATTGGGAATAAGAAGCTATTACTGGGGCAGGCAGTCTATAGGGGATAGAGTTACATTTTTTACAATCAAGTATTCTTTAGGACCGGGTTGTGATTTGAGATGAACTCAAGCTGCAACATTCAGAGGCGCTGCTAGGATTGAACACTGAAAACCCCAGAGCGCAGAGGCATTCGAGTCGGAGGTTTGGGACCTATTACCGTGGATGATGTCCACTGCAGGGTCTGCAGCACTTATCTCTCGCCCTCAATGCTTCAGGAGAAGAGACGGAAGGGTTTTCTGTGCCGTGTCGTTACGATTCCCCTCTTCCTATTGCCCAGCTCAAAGTTATTTGTGGAACTAATAGAAGGGGCAAGACTTTCCTCTTGAGATGCTTTCCTTCTCTGCCTCCTGTTACATAGCTGCGCGTTTGGAATGTGTGTCAAAATTGAAAAAACTGGATGCTGATTGTATTTCCTTTGCTCTTTCATTTGGGGATTGCTGGCTATTTGCAAACTGAACTCAAATGGAAGGCCACAGGAGTTTAAACCCGATTGAAGCGATGCAGGAGAAGATGAAATGCCGTTCTCCAGAAGCTCTCAGGCTCCCTGTTAATCTGTGCTGACACCGCTTGAGCATCGGGGTTAAGAGACAATAAAGAACGTGGGGCAACTGGGATCGAGACAAAAAAGTGAATTAGTGAATTAATGAAGAAAGATCTTGAGAAAAACGTCTTTGATACCTAAAAATAACCAATGGTGTGTATTAGTCTAAAGCATATTTTCAATGCAGGGATAAGTGCACGCAGCAGGGAGGAAAATACAAGAGGGAAGCTGTAGTAGAGAGTGTAGAGGGTGAATTTAACTGACAATAGATCACTAGAGCCTGTGGTATCGCGTTTAGAGGGTTAAAAGGCTAAACATCTTTGTATTTAATGGAAGATGCTCCTAGAATTCTCAAAAAGAAAAGATGGAGAGAAAATCTGCTGTCGGGGAACTTGAAAGAGATGCACTTTTGCGCCTAGAGTCTGGAAAGCTGGAAATGTGTTCAATGGGGAGACCCAACGGGCACATTTCTTTTCGGAACAACCTCGGTCCTGGGGGATTTTCCATCAGCGAGGCTGCTCCCAGGTGTGCCTTTCGTCCTGCTCCATGTTGGGGTGGCTCCAGCATTAATTTATCTGCAGGTTATGATGAGAGGAGGAGTGTTCAGGGCCTTGAGAAGAGCAATGCTTGCTACCATTTTGCCAAAAATTGCTCATGGGTTGTAAGCAGACTGGGGCTTACAAGGGCCAGAATCAAACCGAATGATTATGGCTCAGAAAACTACTATAATTTATATAATTTTCTCTTGGAAGACATACTCCGTAGGTAACCTGCCTTCTCTATAACCAATAAATAGCATTCTTGGAGAACAAAGATCTGAGGATGCTTTATAGAAGGGAGAAACACGAACAAAGCTGTACCATACGTTAAAATCAGCAAAACTGCTTAAGGCAATCCAATTGCATTTTTTTATTAGTATTGTGTTGTGATGCTAAACAGAAAATGACAACTGTGAATAAGATAAAGGTCTGCATTGTGCATGAAAAATTTAAATTGTTACTTTAAGGAGAGAGATTTTTTTTTTTAAATCCCATAAAACATTTATAATAACATTTTACAAAATTAAGAAGGGGAGAATTGGCTTGAAGTCTTCTAAACCCATTAAATTTGCATGCTGTTGTTCAAAGCAATGGTTAAAAAAGCAAGAAGAGGAAAAGGTCTAGGAGGCACGAGTATGTGTATTTGAATACATATTTGACAATTTTATCTGAGAATCAGAAATCTGGTACTTGGAGCGGTTTAGAGCTGAGCAGAAGTTTTGCCTGTGGGTTAGGCTGAGAATTTCTTAGCAGTGAAGTGGAGCCACACTACAGAGGGGAGAAGATTTTTGTCCCCAGGAGATGCTGGATCCAGCCCAACTCAGGGACAAGGCTCTGGGGGCACCCACCTGCCCAGGGACCCCATGAGCACATCCCCATCCTCCTCCCCTGGCTTCTCGAGGAGCCTTCCCATTGCTCCGAAGGCACTCAGCTCCTGCTCCCGGCAGGAACAGCGATTTGTTCCATTTTCGAGCAAAATTAATCGTGGCAAAGGAACGAATGGGAGAGCTTCAAGCGAGCGGGTGACTCTGCCCGGAGAAGCTGGCGTTTGGCAGACAAACACGAGCAGCAACATCGCCGCGTGTCGTGCTCGGCTCGGAGAGACTGGTGAAATCCCGACGCGGGTCGGCGGAGCGGTGGGAAACCCACTCACTGCGTTTTGTTGGTTAATAATTACATTTTTCATATTTTATTTATTTCCTCAAAAGAAACAAGTAATTATTACACAATCCTTTCCCCATACCACTTTGGAAGATTTATCAATTATAATCTAGGAGAACGGCCCCATGTTAGACTTCAAATGTGTCTCATTAAAGATATTTTTTAGGAAGAGTGGTGGAAAAACAAAGAACTGCTGTGCTGTTGTCTTTTACTTCTCTTTAATGTCGGGTTCAGAAGTAATGATGTTGGGAACAATCATTCTTCAAACCTCTGTTTCCTTGTGTTTACTCATTAAACACGAGAACCAGGTGCTCTCATGGGGAAATGCTCATTCTAACATTGGCTTTAGAAATCAAAAGTCTCTTCTCTTTCGCTAACAAGCACTGCTTTGCAGGGAAGGGACCGGGAAAAAAGCAAGCAGGACCTGCTTAAAAAAAAAATATGTTAGTACCTAGCCCTGCAATCTTAGCTTGTAGAAATCGTCCTGGTTTTAGAGAGGTATCGGTGGGAGGCGTGTGATTACGGGGTGTTTGTGCTGCCTAAGAGTCGGTCTCGGTGTGCTGAGCTCCCTGTGTTGCAGTGAGTGTGGGGCTCAGTAGCACCTCAGGAGCAATTTGGTGACCTGAATGCAGGCATCCTGTGCTGCTTTGGGCTCCCCAATCCAGGAGGTCAGGGCAGGTGCTGCCTGAAACCTGCAGCTGCACACCCGTGCTGCAGCACACCCGTAATTCCCATGCGATGCGCTGCCCACAGGTGATGGGCAGGCACCAGGAGGCGAAAGGTGGAAGAGCTGTTGCATCTCGGAGAGGTTCACCCAGTTTTCTTGAAGTTTTTGTAAGCAGAAATTAGCAGCCTGGGGTCCAGGTCTGAGCTGCCTTGGCTCCAAAAGTTGCTC